CCAGCCAATTAATGTTAAACCAATGTTTGGACTTAGTACACATCTGCTATAAACATGAGTAATGCATAGCATTCGCAGTAAAAATACTGATTAGTATGAATTAATCCATCTGATATGTGTATTAAAAGGCATTTAAACATGTTGTTTTAAGAAGTTCTCATAACCCTGGATGCCATATTTAAAAACAAACATCAGTACGCAATGTTTTGCAGCCTCTTAAACAAATAATCTCGCTTTGATTTAAATAACATTTATTTTACATGACCAAACACAATAAATAACGTAATATACAAAGCTTTATAATTATTGCACATTTGTAAAATATTTTACAGTGAGTTCGTACAGCCAGCAATATTTAAAGCACAAAGACTTTATTTACAGTTTCATATAATAACCAGGTCCAACGGACCTAACATAAAACGAATTTATGTTAATTTTACCAACCAGCGTCCTCATCGATCATTTCATAGACATGTATCTATATTTTGGAAAAATGTAAACATTATTGCCAAAATCGTCTTATATACATCCCATACTTGTGTGATCATAACAAACGATTCCAACGATCGAAAAGGTTAAGCTGGTAAAAGAGTGCTACGTTTTGGTCTGTTTTCTTTAACCTTAAATTATATATTAATAAAAAAATTTCAATGTAAACTCAGTGAACAACAGCTGGTATAATCGATATTTTTACGCAAGTAGTCTTCCTACTGCTTCTTTACAAAATGCGAAATATGTCGGTTAGGTCTCCTCTCCTGTACTTTAAAGTTCTCTACCCAGAAAATGTACACGTCTTGTCAGGATTCCTCTCCAGAAGCGTGGGATAATTCTTCTTTGCCTTTCCCTACCCCCGCCCAAGAAATCTGTCCCGTTGGACAAAAAAAAATAAAATAAAACAACCCTACAATTTATGTTCACTGAACAAAACAGCATAGCCTTTAAAATAATTTCCTGAAAGTTCATTATTAGAATATGAAAAAATCCAGTGTCTTAAAAATAGAGGGATTTCAGGACACTTATTCGAAATATATAATATACTTCTTTTTTTCCCCTTTCTTTTTTCCTCTTTTTTTTCTTTTTCTTTTTTTGTGATGGTGTACGTGTGTGTGTGTGTATTCACATTCACACGGGGCCTAAACAAGCAATAGCAAGTTAGATGAGGGCTTCAACTCTTCAGAAAAATCTCATTATGTGAAGAGTGAAGTGGCTCTGTAGGGAGCATTATGGAAATATCTGGGTTTGATTTAATGAGGCTCTTCACATTGGTGGAATATCAGCTTAACAGAGAAAAGTCTACCCGGGGCGTCCAAGTTACCAAAATGAAAATTGGCAATTGAGATGATAAGAAAGTGACTTTCTTGTGCGAAATCACTTCTGGTAACAGAGATAACATTAAATAACATACATTCTATGCACCAAGAACAATGTTTTATGTACCAAGTCTCTTATCTGTCTCTTCTAATGACTTCCCTTAGCGGGTTGTTAGTACTTGACAGCAGGTCTCTGTGCGGGGAACTTTTTTCCAATTCCACATTCAAAGGAGGTCCATCAGAGAACATGATTGGCAATTTTCGTCATAATCTGCACATTATTAGCATCAAAATTGACATGGCAGTAACACTGGTTTTTTTTGATGTGCCTTTCTTCAAGTTCAAGGAAGTCCCTCCAGTAGCAGTGGTTTGGTATAGCAGGTCTCAGTTACCCAGTGGTGGCTTTTCGGAGGCAAAGGAGCGACAGAGATGCGTGAGAAATAAATCCAAGAGCAGTTACACGGAAAGGAGAAAAAGACGCTAAGAGACAGAATTACACTTAGAAAAGTATCTGGAAAGTAAATGCTTCAGGACAACAGCCTGCACCTAGAGAGATTCAAGTATTTCCCAGATAGCGTGGATTATGGTAGTCAGAAAGCGGGAGCTTAAAAAATGCCTCTTCCCGTCCTGTCAATCTCACACTTCCCTTCCCCTTACTAGCCCGGCTGCCGCAGCCTCATTAGCTACAGCTTGTAGTACAGAAATACGCGAGATATTTCCCATTTAGCTGAACTAAAAAGAAATAATGATAATAATAACAATTTTTTTAAAAGGAAAAAAAGAAGAAAAATTTAAAAGAAAAAAAAGAATAGAAAGCACATTCCCTTCCGCCGGCTGCCCCTCCCTGCTCCCACCGGCTCGGCAGCCCA